ACACCATATGAACATAGTGTTTACATTGTAAGACACATATGATGTTCACACGAACATAGGGCCGACATGTGAACATATATGAACATATGAACATAGTGTTTAYATTGCAAGACACAGATGCTGTTCACACGAGCATAGGGCCGACATGTGAACATGAGTTGTGAATATGTTCATAATCGATCGTAGGTTACAAATCGGCTGGAGAATATCGGGTTCACAATGCGTGAAGATTTCTTACCAAAATACCCTGTGAACAATTGTTCATAAGCAGCCCAATTAATTTAATGATTAATTGATTATTTTTTAATACTCATTTAATAATGACCGTTTGACCAATTTACCCTTTGAACAATTGTTCATACACATATCAATTAATATATTAATTAAATTATTATTTATTTAATCTCATTTAATAATAACCGTTTGATGATAAAATGAACGATCAAGATCGGTTCACATAGTTTGTACCATATGGTTGGTTTCTATTTGAACCAGCCCCTATATAAATATATATATATTCACACACACAACAATTATTAGAGGGTATATTTTAAATGCACTTTCTGGCATTGTGAACTCAATCTGCTACTTGCCATATCCTATGCACAAATACCCACAAATTGTAGATACAAAAAATGAATGAAACATGCTAAACAAACGTACCTCAAAGAAATTGAAAATCAGCATTCGAATCTTTCTGCGTATGAACGACTAATTATTGTAAAAAATTACATGGAACCCCATTATGTAGTTTCCAGAAAAGGAAAAGAAGAGAGGTTCCAACATATGTAGAGGAGATAATGATCCAATTCTAGCCGATGCAGAACTTTAACAGATATGAATATGACCCTGAAATGTCAGGGCGGTATCTATACATGAATCGGAGTGTTATTGACAATGATGATACGTGTAGAAAACAAAACCGAAGAGATTAAATACACACCGTCTAGGCTTGTATGAAAGATCCGTCCTCTTTGATGTGTGTTCTCCGATCCCACCACCCTTTAAATCGCGATCTAGATTTGTTGCAGGATAGAATACGGATGGATGGACTCATAAAAATTGTTGGAGGCAACTGACAAAAATGAAAGGCGGTATTAACGCATAATATTCACAGGTTCGTTGTCTGAAGGCTGCAAGCATTCTTCTGGATTTGCGTAGAAGTAATCTTCTTCTTTGGGTTTGTCGGGAATAACCAATCTTTTCGTGGGGTTTCCCATGCGTTCTGCATGAGCGGCTTTGACAGCGCTCGAGAATTCATCCCAACTCAATGATTTACTTGTATATTTGTCGATTAATTCAACCAGAAGTTTTCTATCCAATAATATCGTCTTCTTGAAACCCAAATATCTGAAAAAGCGTTCAAGATTCTTGAATCATTATGACAGAACTTCAAAGATGCTGTTCTTGGCTAAATTCATAAACATGCAAGAATTTTTTACATCCTCTTGAGGTACCTAACATTGTGGTAAAGAAAACACATACATAATATATATATATATATATATATAGAGAGAGAGAGAGAGAGAGAGAGAGAGATAGGGCTATGTGAGAAATTTTCACTTTTGTGAACAAGTGATGATACCTTTATATTGTGTGAATGTTACGTTACATTGTGTGTGTTATAATATTCACAAAATATAGAAGTATCTTCACACTTCTCACGACAAACTACTTCTCATGACAAACTTACACACAATATAATGACACCTTCACTTTTTTCTCAAGTTATCAAGAAAAAGGTTGTTCTCACTGGAACCGAACCCTAATACACATGCACACACACAAGTAGGTTCAAGAGAGAAATCCCCAAAAAATGGAAAACTGGGGAACCCTCCATCAACCATTGGATCTAAAAAAGATGGCTCAGATTCGATATAACCGCCTCTATAATCGTGAAGTTAGTCATGGGAAAATGTAAACACACCCCCCCCCCCCCAATTATTCACAACCGTTGGATTAAAACTGCTCCATGGTTGATGAAGGGTTCCCTGTTAACCATTTTTCTAGGGTTCTCCCACAAACCCACCCCTACATTTGCATACATATTTAGGGGTGGGTTCTCCCTCAAATCCACTAMTATATAGCTTTTAAATGCTAAAAAATAAGCATAATGTTACCTCCGATGGCCTTCCACAACTTTGGCCATATTTCCATCAAAAGTAGGAACAAAAACATCACTCTCCAGCGATACAAGATAGTCTAATGCTGCCATTTGCGACGAGTGATTCTGGAAAAATTGAAGGTCGGCTGGTGCCAATAGAGTCTCTTTCCTAACCTGTTAATCATAATATAATGTAATGGCAAGAAGATGAGGAAAAAAAATAAAAAAAAATAAAAAAAATAACTGGTATTGACTCTGTATACGAACCAGCTTTGGATAGGCGGCTCCGAGACTAGCCACTCTCCTTTCACCACCATATATTTCACCAGCAGCGATGTAAATCTGGATGTCACGATCTATATCGAGTGCCCTTAATGCAAGAGCGGTCTCTTCAGGAGTCAAAGGGCATAAACCATCTTTCCTTTTCAAGTCAGAGTTTATGATCTTTTCTTTCCACCATGGGTATGCATACCTACCAAAAAAAGAAAGTCAACAACACAAGAAAGGACATTTTTTTAGTTTAACGATGAAGAATTATTGCAATAAGACAAATCAAACCTCATTCGTGTCAACTCTTCCACCTCTTCATCATTGCATCCTTGAGTACAACCAGAAAATGCTAACATGTCCATTTCGTAACGGAGGTGAAGTACCAGAAAGGGTCCATTTTGTCTTAAAAGCTTAACAACCCGTTTGCCCAACTCTTCTATCTGAGTAGTAAATCTCAGAGCACTGAAATTTACTCGGCACCTAAGCTTCTGAAGGTCGAGTGGTTGACCACTATTGGCAAGCCGAGCGTCCGTTCTATTCAAATGCAAAACTTTGTATCTTTGAATCAAAGGAAGAATCTACAAATAAACAGGAGAAAACTTTCAATCTGCGTACATGAACATCGAGAAATATTGTTACTCCCTCCATCCCAAAATAAATGTCCACAAAGAAAAAGACACATTTTTAGAAACATGTAATTATTACACTTTTTAATTAACTAAATGGCAATTTTACCCTTAATAACAAAAGGAGTAATGAATTTTTCCATCTCATAATCAAGGATAGAATTTGAAAGTAGGCACTTACTTTTAAAAGTGGACACTTATTTTGGGACAGACTAAAATAAAAATGTGGACACTTATTTTGGGTCGGAGGGGATACAATGAAAGCGAAATGAGGAAAAAGTTCTACCTGCATGTGGTAGTATGAAATATCAGACCAACTAATGGGAGGCATGGTATGAATGATTCCTAATTCCACTCTCTTTTTAAGCCTTATAGGAAGCTTTTTAAGTATCCGGACTTCATCTCTCAAGGATGTAATGAAATGATCAACGTCAAAAATGTCCTCAAATTCACTGCCAATTTTAAGAATAACAACAATAAGTGGACTATCATGACTCTTTATAGCACAAGATTGACATAATTCAGCAATCAGCATACCTTGGATCAGCCCAGAAAGAAGTTTTGTCCAGCTCAGGGACAATGAGAGTAACATTTAAGTATCTTGCTATTGCAACCATATCACATATCTGCAGTATGATTAAATAATCAAAATGATAATCAATTAATTTGTTTCTAAATGAACCCAATAAGCCATAGATTAAGCTTGTGGGCTCAAATCGTACTGAAAGCACTCACAGCAGATCTCATCTGATTAAGTCCTCCATTACACGAAATCAGTAGGTAACCATTGTTCTTGTAAACCCCTACATATAACACAATATTTTTTATGTCAAACATCAAGGAGAATCTCAATATGGACACACACACACAGAGAGATCACAGTAAACTAGAAATAAACATAAATAGGAAGACTAAGGGATATTGTATATATATTAGTATAAGTAGCAACTCAATAGAGTGGGTAATAAATTGGCAAAGAAGGAACTATAAGTAATGGCTAGTAGTTATTTCCTATTGATTTCAACTTGCTTCTAAAGTTTAAACAATAAGAATAACTTTAGGGTAGTCCATCTGGAAACCATCTCGTACTCTTTCTGGGGTCGAACAGCAGCCAGCAGCTGAAAGGGAGGTTTCAAATAGAATCTCGTACTCTTTCTGGGGTCGAACAGACATCACGAAAATCGGCAAAGAGAAACCTGCTGCAAGCTACAAGTCATAGGAAAGGGAAGATCCACAAATTTATCAAATTTATCCCTTTGATCCATTTTTCTTAGTCTGTTTGCATATTATCTTTCTTGCTCCTATTCATGTATAAGCTTCATGGGATTCGTTAACCATCAAAATTCACAAAACAACTACCACAAATCCTAGACGGCATGATAAAAAAGAAACACATATATAGATACATCCATAATTCCATATCTCGGAAATTGGAACATATAGACCGTAAGATTATGTGAAAACCCATATTACTCTCCAAAAAAATCCTTGAGGAGAGAATAGAGGTTCCAACATACATTGAGAACAGGTCCAAGTCTAGCCAACATGGGACTCTAATTTATCCGAATTCCACCTTTCTACACGTAGAAGTGACAATTGAACTCATGTAATACCATTGGGGGAAAGGCGAATTGGGTGTGTCAGGATTCATCTTCCAATTATCACAAAATCCACAACAAAATCACCAAAAAAACAACAAAACAACAAAGTAGAAGCAGAAAGAACTAACTCTTTGGTGGAAGAACTCTAGCAGGAACGATTGGCAACAATTTCACATCTAAAGTAGTTGCAGAAAGAGAATCACGAGAAGGCCAACCTTTCAAAACCATAGGTCCCCATGTATCCCCTAATGCCGTCAACTGAACCAAACAAGTCCACAATAACACCACCGTCGTAGCCCTGATCATCCACAGCTTCATTTTAGAAGACCTTGCATATGAATTTGCCGTCGAACTCCTTAATTTTTCTACTCTACTTTCTCCAAATGCTTTCAAACCCATGGTTCCAATCCTAAACCTCTTCGTTTTATCTCTCTCCTCTATACTGCACATATTCCTTCCATAGATCACCTAGCAAACCCTAAATTACCTTAATCTATATCAAACTCACCTCGATTCACAAAGGACTTTGCTAAATTGACGACAAATGTAGTAATATATGAATAATTATATGTCCTTATAATGTTAATCGAGATGCAGAATTTCTTAAACAGAAACGAATGGAAGAATTGCAGATTGAGCTACCAAAACAGAAACAGCATTTACAACTCTTTCAGTTAATTAAATCTCAGAACAAATGTATCGAGATTCATTTCCACCAATAGCATGCAACAAAACCCTAACTTTTCCAAAAATCACGTTCCGAAAGCACACTGGATCTCGAAAGGGAATTTAAGAAATTTCAGTCTCGACCCAATTTTCAACAGCTACTGACAGCAGTAATTGGAGCTATTCGAGATCGTTTTTAAGGATAATCAGTGACTAGAAAACTGGTAGCTTGTGATCGGAGAGTATTTACGGCAAGCAATGAAAAGGTCGCCGGAATAAGAGGGCGTCGGTGGCCGGCAAAGAATAAGGGAGAGGGAGAGAGAGAGAGAATGGGGTTCTGTGGGTAAGCTACGTTTTGTTATTACCCACTTTTCAACTTTATTCCGTTTGGTTTTTTTGGACAATTTTGGTATTTGACAAGATTAAAATAATTTAATTAATGAATTTAAATTATTTAAAAAAAAAGTGATACATCTGTATCTATATTCTATACTATATTATAAAGCATTTGACTAAAACTCTTAAAAACTCTTAAAACTCTTAAACCCATTCATCCCTATCTGATTTCATCCTATATCTGAATTCATGTAACTAACTGCAGATAAATACAATCAAATACAGGATAAACATCTCATTTTAAATATAAAAAATATAAAATATAATTAGGATAATCATTGAGTTCTAACAAAATACTTAATTATTATCTTTATAAAATGTTATATTATTAAACCAAAAATAAATTATTTTATTATTAAACTTTAATTA